TGTGTGTGTGTGTGTGTGTGTGTGTGTGTGTGTGTGTAAAAACATAGATGGGGAGAGGGAATTAGCAGGGAAAAGGAGCAAAAAAGGAGAGAGCTTAGAGAAATTGGAGGCAGACATGATGAGACACTGAGACACACACCACCTGGTGTTTAGAAGTGGAATTTCTCAAGACGATCTCAAGTGTTTGGTGTGTCAGGGAAGAGCAGTCAGGGGCAGGGTACCATTTTAGATAGCCTGTAGCAGATTGGCAGTAAAGAATAAATATGACTCTGAGAGACAGAGTAGAAATGCAAATGAATGAAAGTGATCAGAATGGACATAAAAGAGGAGAGACCAGATTAGGTGCAAGAGTGAGGGAAAAAAATAATAGGGGCCAAGGCTGAATATACCTAACTGGATATTAGTTGGTTTCTTCCAGATTGATTTGTTTAAATTAGCATACTAGAAGCTGGAGAAAGGGACATAGGGGGAATAATTTATTTGCAGTAGATAATAAATGACTAGGCAAATTGTACATAGGTACCTGGGTGCTATTCCTGTGTTAACATTTTGGACACTTTTTATTATAGTACAGTAAGTAGCCCCAGGGAATGAGGAAGGAAAGTTATCTGATAATTTCCTTTTTAGGAAATTAATTTGTTATAGCCTAATCATACCTAATGATCTGTCTCCTTCCTTTTGTAGTCTCTTGTTAAGCAGACCTCCTGTTTCCTTGGTCAGGCTCTGGGATCTCTCCCTGAGCTTGATAATTCTCTAATATCTGAAAGTGGTGATCAGGTATGACTTGAGACATGGGTCAGGAAAGGGAACTATGGCAAACCCACTCAGTTTAACCAATGTCACCTAAACTTTTCAGAGAGCAGTGTGATGTATAGTATAGAGATTCAAGGGCTAAGTGGCTTGAAGTAAAAAAAAAATGGGTTTAAATCCTGCCTCTAGTCCAGTATGGTAGGAGGCACACCTGTAATCCCTGCTACTGGGGAGGCTGAGTCTGCTGGATCACTGGAGATCAGGAATTAGTTCTAAGCTGCAGTGAGCTAAGCCAGTGTGGGGTGCACACTAAGTACGGCACCAATACAGTGAGACCTCATGACCAAGGGGGCCACTAGGCTGCCCAAGGAGGAGCAAACTGGTTCAAGTTGGAAACAGCAAGACAAAGCTCCTATGGCAGGGGTGGGGAACCTGCAGCTTCCAGGCCACATGTGGCCTTCTAGGTCCTCAAGTGCAGGTCCTTTGATTGAATCCAAACTTCACAGAACAAATCCCCTTAATAAAAGGATTTGTTTGGTAAAACTTGTACTCAATCAAAAGGCTACATCCAAGGACCTAGAAGGTCTTATGTGGCCTCGAGACTAAAGGTTCCCCATCCCTGTGCCATGGGGATCAGTACTGGGATCAACTTGTGAGTGGCCCCTGTATCTCTAGCCTGGGCAAGCTAGGGAGACTAAATCTCAAAAAAGAAAATAAAAACAAATCCTGCCTCTGATACTCAGTAGCATGTGACTACCTCTGTAAAATGGGGACAAATATATCCATAATAGCTCCCTTACAAGACTGTTGAGGCTTCAATAAGCTAATGTATGTAAAATGCTTTGCGAGTTGTAAATGAATGTCAGTGATTATCCAGTGCCACTGCTTCTATCCCTTAAATTGCTTTTCTGGGGAAAGATAGGCAGTTTACTATAGAGACTTTCTAAGTCTCCTTCCAGGCCAACATCTTGTGAATCTGAGCAAACAGGGAGACTTATCTAGTATGGAGAAGAGGAGGAAGGATAGAGCACTGCTGTGGCCAACTGGGGTTCCATTCCATTGTACCACTAACTGAGATGTGTACAAAGATAAATGGTAGGTAATCAGAGGAATAAGTATTGGTAGGAATAACTCTTGTAGTGATTATTAGCAAATGACTCCTCAGACTGGCATAGAGCAGAGAAGTAGCAGGGACTTTCTGAACTAGGCCATTTACATCTTTCAGTCAAGGAGGGGCAGCAAAGTGTACCAGAAGGAGCACTGGACTTTGAATCAAAAAATCTGGGTTTGGGGGCAGCTAGATGGTGCAGTGGATAGAGCACTGGTCCTGGAGCCAAGAGAACCTGAGTTCAAATCCAGCCTCAGATACTTGATAGTAGCTGTATGACCCTGGGCAAGTCACTTAACCCCGATTGCCTCACCTTTCCCCCCCCCCAAAAAAAAAGACTTGAAGGATGTTATTATTTGGGGCAGCTAGGTGACCCAGTAGATAGAGATCTGGCCTTGTAGTCAGGAGGACCTGAGTTCAAATGTGACCTCAGACAGTTTATACTTAATAGCTGTGTGACCCTGCTCAAGTCACTTAACCCCAATTACTTCACCAAAAAATAAAATAAAATAAAAAATCTGGGTTCTAATTTGAGTTTTGCCTGAATTTGGTTCCTAACCTCTCTGAACCTGTTTCCTCATCTGTAAAATAGAGATGAAACATTATGTAACTCAAAGAGTTATAGTATGAGATCCAAATGAGACAATGTATGTGAATGCACTTTGTTGTTGCTATATAATCCCCTGTGAGCTATTATTAGTTAAACTGTATTGAACTAGTCCAGGCCTTTTATGATATGGAGATATCCCTACCCCAAGGAAGCTTGAATGACAGTCATGAAACACTTTTCTGAAAACTACAAGGAGTAGTAACTACCCATGCAGCACGGAACATCCTAGTTGCCCTAGCAAGACCATATTCTCTGACTCACGGTAGTGATTTTGCCCACCAGGTGGCGGCATTAGCCTGGGCTGGCCCTATGTTGTTCCCACTGCAGAGCAAGACCTGGGGAACCCGGCCTGCTCCCCAGACGTAGAGGTGAAAGAGAAATTTAAGAGAAGCTTGGACAAGTAACAAAAAGGTCCCTTGTTTTGTAGACCTATCACATTCCTGTTTAGAAAACTCCCTCCCTTCCTTCCTTTTCCTCCCATTGCTTCACCCTTATCTCTATTTCCAGGTACTGTTTATACACCCCAAAATTGGCATTTTCCTGCTTGCCCCTTCCAAGTGTTATTTTTTTCCTTCAATATAAATTTTTCTCATCACCCTGTTCCCTATACCACCCCCCACCCCCATCTGCTGTCCACTTTATCCACTGAGCAGCTTTCACTTTCATTAGAGATGAAGGATGGAGATGTAAAATCTCTTTCTCAAAAAGGAAGGAATATCCAGTTAATTTAAGAATCCAACAGCCCTAATTCCAGGGCATAAAGATTGGTAGGAGCCAAAGCTGCTTCTTTTGGTCATAGTATTCACTCATCCTTTTCTACTTTGATTTCAATGAATGAGTTCAAGTCAGGGCAAAAGGTTTTATGGGATTGGTCAAAAGGTGAAGAAACAGGTGCATCTTCATCACCACCTTCTTCTTCTTCATCCTGGAAGTTGGGATTATAGAGATCTGGGGGAAGGAGCTGGGCCTCAGCAGAAGGCAGTCGTTCTGAAGGAGGTCCATATACTCGGTTGGCTTTGGTGCCATGCTTAGAATTGGCATCCAGGTGGTAACAAAGTTGAGTGAGGCGCTGAGCTCGGAATCGAGGTGGGCGAGCCACCCAGACCCCTGGCTCATTAAGACTGTCCTCCTCATCCGACATTAATTCCTCTGTCACATCCTTCCACAGGCGCTGCTCTTCAGCTCCAAAGTGCCTCATGATACTGGATCGGTTAGCAAAGAGCTACACACAAGATCACAGGAAAGAAGTTAGGAGGAGAGACACGTGTGGATCAAATTTTAGGAAATGTCAGGGGGAACAAGGGTGTCTGGGAAAGAACAGTAAGATCTGTGTGAGAGGCAGAACTACAATAAGGCACTTCAAGCAAGTTTTGGAAATTAGTACTTCCTGTTTTGTAGCTCTGTGCTTTGTCCCTATTTGAGTCTCTAGCCAGTAGGGTCCTAATCCTCAGGTCAGTTTTAGAGGGCTGTGGCAGCTCTACCCTCCTTCTTTCCTAGTGGCCCTCAGCCTTGTTTTTCCTGGGTTTCAGCCCTATTCCCAGTTCCTTTTTCCTCTACCTCACTCCATAGCATGGTGGTGTCTGGGGTTTGGTACCAGGAATGAAGAACACAGAGACCTCTTACCCTGTATCGACGACTTCTCAATTTCTTCTCCTCTTTCTCCTTCAGCCCCTTAAAAGGATTCAGGGAGTTTCGGTACTCACGTCTTTTGGTGAGGAAATAGGCCACACAAGCCCCTACAGTGAGAGAAAAGAAGAGTTCCTGAAGGCCTCTGAGGCAGAATAGACACAAGATCCTTTAGAGGTTGTGTTCCCAACCCAAGTGGCCAGAGCTCGCATGCACTTATTCCTTTTTTGTCTGGCCTTTTTCCTCCATACCAACCATATACCAGTGCCCTGGGCTAGCCACCTGTTATATGCAGTGGGAGCCCTAAGAAGAAAGATTTACAAGCCACCCTTCAGCAGAATTTTCTAATTCATAAGCCTGGGGTATCAGCTGTAAGTGAAGAAGAAAAGGAAGCAAAGAGGTAAAAGCCTGGACTTACTATCTAGAACCTGTAAAATGAGGGGCTTGAACTTGACAACCTCTATAATCCTTCTGGCTCTGAACCTTTGATCCTCTGATCCTGTGACGAAGGGTCAGACCTCTGCCAGAGGACTTTCTGCTTATTTCCTCTCTACTACTTCCACCCTTAGATTTATGCCCTACACATAATCACAATGCTTGGCAATTTTCTAGCTCTTATCTCCTAACTTCACCTTCAACTTTGAGGAAGGGAATGATAAATAGGCATTTGGGAGCTAATTGTGTGGGTTTAAGTGGGAAGAGGGTAGAAGTAAACCTCATTCCTGCCATCATTCTAATACCAAAGCCACCAGCTCATCCCCCAGCCATGCTCCTTTGCTGATGGGCAAACAGAGGAGTCAGAGATGGAGGTTTCCCAGGCTTCCTTTACCTTTCAATTCCTTATCAGTATAATTGTGAGGACTGGTCACCAGCTCCTGCTTGAGTTTCTCCAGGAGGAATTTCACCACTGAAATGTTCCAAGAGGACTTGATACTGCCACATTAAAAAGAGAGTACACAGTTTTCATTGTATGCTGGATAGAGCAAACCACACAGTCCTCAATGGACACTAAAGTAATTTCCTTCAGACATCCAGGGAATCCATGGATTCCACCTGAACAAAGCCCCATCTACATTTCTTCACAGGACCCTCTACTAGGATCACCTGGTACATCACCCTCTGTTAGGGACTGGTGGTCACAATACTTCAGACTTCCTTCTGTCCTCCTTCTCCTATCTCCCCCTTTCACCCCCAGTTTTCCTTTAAAAGAGTGACTTTTTTTCCTCTTAAAAGAGTTACCTTCTTCCATTTAGAAGGAACACTCACCTTTCTGACCCATTAAACCTCTTGTCATTTGTGATGTGGTTATGTACATTGTGGACCAATTTCTAGAAACAAGAGAAATAACAGAATCACAGCAACATGGTGAATATGAACATATGTAGAGTGCTTTACAAACCTTAAAGCGCTATATGTTAGCTATTATTACCTAATATTATTGTTTGGCTTTATTTGTTTTTTGGCTAGGCAATGGGGTTAAGTGACTTGCCCAGAGTCACTCAGCTAGTAAGTGTCAAGTATCTGAGGCCAGATTTGAACTCAAGTCCTCCTGACTCCAAGGCCATAGCTCTATCCACTCTGCCACCTAGCTGCCCCCCAATTTTTGGGCGGTGAGGCAATGGGGATAAGTGACGTGCCCAGGGTCACTCAGCAGTTTCCTTTGTTAATCCTCCATATTTTCATTTATGCATTTTTAAAAACATTATTCTGAGAGGAGGGCCACAGACTTCCCCAGATTGCTAACAGGGTCTATGAGCCACTATGCTACATCACATTGCTCTTCTGCTTTCCTAGTACTGTTTTCTTTCCACCACAAATGCAAATGAGTTTCTGAGTACCTTGCTCCATTTCTAATAGTCAGGAATAGTAGTTGTATTGGGCCAGAAACTCACATGGGAGAGGCTAAACATATCTGTCCTTGGCAGGAAAGATCTTTTAGGGTACTGCTGAAGGTGTGAAGGAGAGACCCTGAAAGTCACTGATTTTTGTCCCCACCCAATGCAGAGTTGAGGTTCCAAAGGAACAGCAGACCTCATCTGACTTCATCTGAAGTCCAAGGTGACTTCATCTGAAGTCCAAGGCCCAAGATCTGATACCCCAGCCTGAGAGAAGTGGTAAAAAGAGTTGCAGAGATAATTAAAGGGTTGAAAAAGGTTTTCTGAGAAAAGGTAAATGATGCTAAAATGAAGCCTAAAGTAGTATTTTCTGGGGGTTTTAGAGGGATGGGGCAGAGAGGCTAAAATTCTATGTAATGAGATTTTGTAATGGGGGAATGGATTTATACTGTAACAAGAATTTAAGTTAGACATAAGGAAAAGAGATGCACCCCAGGGTTTCTATGTTAATGAAGGGACCGTAATGACAAGTGGGTTTAGAATCCACTATAGTCCCACTCTGAGATACAGGATTTCCTCCCACCCCCACCCCTCTTCATAGGGCAACAGAAGGGTATCAGCTCTATCCAGCTATTCTAAGAGGTCTTCTCCAGCCTATAACCAGCTGCTAGTCTGGGGGATATTCACTGGACAGAATAATCCTAGAACCTTCCCTTTGAGGTTCAAGACCATTTTCAGGAGGAGTCTCTGGAAGACCTACTTCAAATCAAATTCCTTAAGAGTCTCTTGAAGCATCTCTAGAAATTGACCTGTGTGTGTTGGGAGATTCTCTCCACCTTTGCAATTACTTCAGGTCTCAAGGGTAAGCCTACATGGGTCCTTCCTGATCAATACCTATAACCTGAAAGGCACTGTCACCTACCCAGAGCTACTGGATAGATTTGCAGACTGATTCCAGTGAATTCCTGGGGAGTTCCAACTTGCTATAATCCCATAAGGAAGATTTTCCTGACTGTCAGGGTTATTGTAAGATCACTGAAAAAGGTTGTGGACTTTGCTACCCTTTCAGATCAATCCACCTGCTGCTTGCCCTTTCAGATTTAAGGAAACTGTCAAAGTTCAACACACTCACAGAAAGCACCAGATCCCGCTTACGCCTGGAATTCTTCTGCCCACCCCCTCTGGCCCTGCCAGGAGAAGCTGCGAACCCCAATGATAATCTCAGTTCCCCAGTCCCACCAGGGACTGAATCCTCCAAGGCACTGTCCAAGGCAGCTGCAGCACTGAGCACATCCTCTGGGCGGGGTGGAGGCAGTTTGGCCCCATTCTCCGGGCTCGTCTCTGAGGATGCCCGCTGGATGGCCAGTTGTGTTGCTGGAGAGAGTTGCTTGGCATAAGCAGGGACTAGCACCCGTTGTACTGCCCCCTCAGAGGCCACGTAGTCATCCAGCTAAGAATAGAAAAACACAGCTTGTTAGGCAGTCAGGGCCCACAGGAAGGGAGCGGGGGAGAGGGGGACGGCTAGGGATGGGCAGGGAACTGGGTTCATCACCTATTATTCCCTGATCAAGGATAATGAACACACAGTTGTAATGGAGGAGTGGCCTTGGCACAGAAGAACCTCACAGCACTCTCTTATGACCACTAGCTTACTTCTCCTGGGACGTCAGTGGATGCAGGTTGTCAAATGCCTTTTGTGTGTTTAGGGTCTCTCCTGTTATGTGGTTGTCATGTGGCTGATTGTATGGATGGGGCACATTTTAGAGTATCTACTTGTACTTACTCATTTGTTGATGGTTGCTCTTGGGCATAAGAATGCATCTAGGTTAATGTTTTGTCTAAGAGAGGGTGGGGTGATGGGAGAAGGAGACTAAGCAGGAGAGGGAACAAGAGAAGACAGAAACAGACAGAGGGAGAAATAAGATAAACGAGACAGAAAAAGGGAGGGCTAAAGACAAAAATCTCTAGAGGAGATACACACTGAATAGTGTTGAAGCTATTTGAATGTTCTACCCTCCTGCCCTCCATTCCCTCTGTTAGGCCAGTACTGTGTTCACCTGGATCCTGACCTGGCAGCATCTGAATGTCATTGCCCTGACATCCACTTGACTTGCCTGTGCCCTCACCCAAGGACATACAGAGCAGGGAGGGAAGCAGAGGGAAGGAGAAAGGAGGGGGATTTTCTGCAGCCAAGAAAACAAAACAGTGAAAGTGAGGGGAAAAAAAGCACAGAAAGAAGCGGGGGAGGAGGCTGAGATTTATAGACCTGTGAGCTGCTTTCTGCGCTGTGAAATCTAATTCCATCCTGTCGGCTTGGAAGCCTTCCCTGCCTGAAAGAAAACACACAGCTTGGGGCACTGCCTGGTCTGGCCCCCTCCCATCTCCCCACCTCCCCACCTCCCTGATTCTCCCAGTTCGGTCCCTCACTACCTTCCCACTTCATTGGTGATCATGACCAGGCTCAGGTAACTGACCATTACCCATAATTCCATACTTAGGACAAAGCTGTGACCAGGGAGCTGGCCAGTGGCAGTGTCATACAGGAGGGGGACAAAGGGAGTTTACATATTCATTTCTCAGAACCAGCAGATGGTCTGGGAGTTTCATTCTTCCCATCTAGACTGTATATTTTGTTCCTTCACCCTCACTCTTTATTGAATGTATAAGCTGAGGGTGGAGTGGAGATAGGACAGAGAGGAGGGCAGTTTTATATATCTCCTATCTCTCAGTACAGTAAGGTGGCATATCTTTACAGGGTTCTGTTTTTTCTTTTTTTTTCTCTACCCAGCCCAGATTTACCTACGTATAACCATGAGCAGTGGAGAAGAAGGAAGAAAGAAATCTAGAGAGACTCCCCCCCCACCCCTTGATGTTTGGTTCAGGTCATTAAACCTATTCTTTCTTCTTCCTTTCTCCTTCCCTACACCTGTTGATGATTCCCACTTTATCCTCATCTCTTTTCTTCAATATTTCTTATTCTTTTCCAACTCTACCACTTTTGCCTTCCTTTCCCCAATCCCTCTTCCTTTCCCATCTAGATTTTCCTCCCCATTTTTCTTCTTTCCTCACTATTTCCCTTCACTCACCCCCATCTACTTTCAACTTTTCCCCTTTCCTCGTTCTATCTTCCCTTAATATGTAAGTATTTCTCCTCCCTCTCTTCTTTCTATCTACCTTCCCTTCCCAGCTCTATCTCCCTCTCCTCTTCTTTACATCCCCCTCAATCTACTGAACTCCTCTTGGCAAGCAGAGGGCCCGCGATAAAATATGAATGAGCCGTCTGTGCACGGCAGGCACCCTTGCCAGGAAAGGCAGAGCCTATGGAGCAGCAGAGACAGCTGCTGAGGAGAATGTGCCATGTGGAGCTATTGAGAAGGAGGGAAGGACACCCCCATCACCATGCACACACCAGAAATGCCTCCTGCCAAAGAGATCATGGTTCAGGAAAAGTAAGAGCTCTAGGGATGACTTTCCCTGGGAGTAAGAGAAACTTGAGACTGCTCTCAGTTCTATTACAGTCACAACTAGAATAAAGGTTTGGGATTAGAAAAATGAGAGAGAAGGAAAGAGAGAAAATAGGGGACAGAAAGCATACAGGGCAATTATGATATTATCCCTTCCCTTGTTGCCATACATACAGGATTGAGGAGTGGGGCTACCTCACTGGAAGCCAAAGCACACCCAGGTAGCCGAATATCCCTCTGAGTTGATGGGAAACCCAAGTGTCCAGTGCCAATAGCAGAGGCTGCTCCTAGTTGCCTTAGTTCCTCAATCACCACCTGCACACCGCTGCCCACACTGTCACATTCCTCTTCCACTGCAGACAGTGCTTTGCAGGCCTCTCCAGGACTTCCTTTGAGAGATCCTGGTTCTTCAGGTGGGGTACAGTGTGCCCCATCTTCCTCACCCTCCTCAGTGGAAGGACTTTTCTCCTGCCTCAGTTCACCCACTTCCTCCTGGAGACGCTTTAACAGCTCATTGTTGGCTTTTGCAAGGCCCAGGGCAGCTTCAGCCAATCCCACTGCCTTGTCCACCCGCTGATATATGATGTGTAGGAGCTGCTCTGAGTTCTGCACGGCTAGGCCATGTCCCGTCACAGTGATTGGGGTACAAGGTTGAGGGTCACCTCCTGGAGGCCCTGTGCTGCCACCATTTGGCTCGCTTTTACAGGCACAACAACAACACTTGGCTTCATTGCCATTAGGCGGGGAAAACAAGATGGTGGCACTGAAGGACATGTCTGACTGAGGCAATGTTATAGCTCTTTGTGTCTATACCAATGGGGCTTTCCAAAATTTGTCCAGGATCAAACCTGGCTTCACAGAACTGAGAACAAGCATTGGGCTCTTTGGAAATGCTTCCCCTTCTCATTCAAGGGCAGCCAGGAGAACTTGGGCACCCAGTAGTAGATTCTGTGAAGAAAGAGCTGGCAAGTAGGTCCATAGCAGGAGAGTGTTTTCCTTAGCCCCTCTGTTGCTCGGCCAGAGGGGTGAAAGACGTCTTCATTTTCTATCTGCTGTCCCTGGGCTGCCAGTGCTTGGGCCACTTCACAGTCTCAGAACACACCACAGTGTATCACAAACACGGATTACATATAAGGATAAGGCCTGCAGGAACTTTTCTGATTAATTCACTTTTCAGGGGATGAGAGAGATTCTGGCTGGACCCAGTCATGGAACCCTGCCAAAAAACCTGACTATAGAATAGAAAAGAGGATCCACCATCATCTGAAAAAATTGGAAGATTAAGGAAGAAAATGTAGGACTGTCTCCTTACTATCATCACTGTAATAACAGCAGTAATACCTCCTACAGCTATGGTATCATTCTTTAAAGAGTTGAAAACGCCTCACAAAGGCTATTTTATCCTCACAGTCCTGGCTGTAAGACACATTTACTCCAAATCCAGATAAATGAAGCAAAGAAAAATTAAGTGTTTTTCGAAGGTCATTGCTCAGCCAACAGAACTCTGGTTTTGTTACTCTCAATACAGAACATATTCCTCCCTACCCTAAACCTTAAAGTGATTAATAAATGTTAATTATTTTTTATTAATTATTCTTACTATTACTGTTACTACTGCTATTAACATGGGGAGCCAGAAACACTACCCCTTTCATAAATTAAAGATGTGTTTAGCCATTAAAGGTATATTCAGACTTTAGGAGTTCTATAAACATACAGTGTTTTTCATGTCATAAACTGCATTTCATCCTATCAATAATTATTTTGGGGAGATGAGGATGGGAAGATAGTAAAGGAGTGAAATGAGAAGCTAAGCCAGGGAGCTGTAACTGGGGAGCACTGACCACTTGGCTTTTTTAGTTTTACTTGTTCCTCTAAACCCTTCAGAGTGATAGGGTGAGACAGCAAGCCAGAGAACCAAAGCAGCATTTGTGTATCCTAAGCAAGATTTGAGAATTGCAGCCAGTGTGAGCCACTGTGCCCTCTTCATCTCCATCTCTTGGAATACCTAGGTTCAGCATATATGCTACCTCCTGATTCTGCCAATTGTTAGTGCTACCCATCACTACCACCAAATCTTTTGTATGTATTTACACACACACACACACACACACACACACACATACCTTTTCCTACCCACCCCCATCTTCCACCCAGTAGAATGTATGTTCTTTGAAGGCAAGGCCTTTTGTGTGTGTTTGTAGCTCCACTGCCTAGCACATAGTAGGAGTTTAATAAATGATTGTTGAATTGAATTGAATTACCATCTACCAGAGGCTTGGATTCTTCATTGTAACACATGTAGCATGATTTATCACAAAACAAATAAAAATGTGTCATGAGGTGAAGGATTTTCAGGCATTAAGAATGTATGCATTTAAAGTAAAGTAAGCAGAGCCAAGAAAACAATTCACACAGTAACGACAACAATGTAAATGGAAAGAACAACCACACACTAAAAAAAATCAAAAGTAAACACAACAAAATTATAAAGATCAAGTGAGATTTGAATGAAGACATATTAGAAGACAGCCCCAAGCTACCCCTTTGTAGAGATAGGAGGTCCACAAGTGTGAGATGTTGCATATGTCTTCAGACTTTTTAAATATATTGATCAATTGTGCTAACTTTTTTTCATCTCTAATAAATACTATTTGTCATATGGGATGGCTCTCTGGGATGGGGAATGGGAAGGATACATGGGATACTATGGTGATGTAAGAAACAAAAAATATCAATAAAAACTTATTTTGGGGGAGCTAAATGGCACAGTGGGTAGAACACCGGCCCTTGATTCAGGAAGATCTGAGTTCAAATCTGGCTTCAGACACTTCACACTTACTAGCTGTGTGACCCTGGGCAAGTCACTTCACCCCATTGCCTCACAAAAAACAAAACCCTTACTTTAAAAAAAATAGAATATGCATTTATAAAAAAAGATTTTAAAATGTCCAGCCTCCCTGCCCTGTGTACTGTATCCAAGTAGCTGTCAACTTTTCCCACCATTAATTCCAGCACCACAGAGAACTAATGTTCATGAATTCCTCAGTCCCAATATCAATGCTCCCTGTGGGAAGGGTGGAAGGGTCTATATATCCCGCAGTAAAGCCAACTCCCGGCCTTCACATGATCCTTGACCCCACTGAAAAAAGGGATAGTATATTATTGAAAAATCATATTATAGTCTCTTAATTATGGTAGTTAAGTAGTTAAACCTGTACCAAAAAAAAAAAAAAAGACAGAAAATCTCAGTCCCTATGACTGGGAAAACTTCAAGGAACATAAATACATTGTTTTCTATATGATACTGGGTTGATGTTAAGAAAAAAAATGAACTCAGTAAGTGACAAAAACTTAAGTAGGTTTAGAGTTTCCTCAGGAGATGTATTTTTATCTTACTCTGTTAATTTTATCATAAAATCACAATTAAAAGGACAGGAGGCAATTTGGCTAATATTTTGTATATCTAGTTTTCCAGAATCCACAAACCCATATCTGAACAGCCAACATGTCTATGCCTCTGAGGTACTGAAACTTAATTTGATGACTCCTTTTAATTACATTTGGTTATTAAAGAATAGCTTTTCATTTGCTCTTTTCTACCTCCAGATACAGCCTCTGCACATTTGAAAGACCTTAACCCAAATCTACTTACTGTTTCCTTAGTCATTAAAGTCACTGAAAGGCACAACTAAACCTAAAATGAAAGGTTAAAGCAAAATTAAAACCAAAGGTTAAAACAGCATTATATAATTTTTTTCCATCAGTTTCTATAGTGGTCATTGCTATCTTTTTCCTCCTAAATAACCTCCTTCCAAGGTTCTCTCAGGACTTTTATAAAGCATACTATGAGGCAGAGACCCTCGAACACAAATGCTGTGAGAAAAAGCTGGATTCTGCATATTGAGACAGTAGAGGGTGGCCTCAAAATGCTGTGCTGGCTGTGTACAGCCTTGGTAGAAACAGGAATTAAAATTCAATCAGCTCAGGCTACCACGTGGCTCCTAGTTTCCAGCTGGCTTCACGGGCTGTCATACCCCTTTGTGGTCCCAACCTGACAGTTGTAACATCTGGTGATTTTGCTCCTCATCCCAGAGCACTTCTAGCTTTTCCAGTGTTGTCCCTTCCTCCAGCTCTTGCGCTCAGGTAACAGTGGCCCTTGCAGGTGATCTATCCTACAGCATTCACTTCTCCCACTCCTGATTCCTAGAAACTCTACTCCCTTCTGGTTCTACAATTTGAGCTGAGCGTTCCTTACCCTTTGAATTCCTCATGGTCATTTTAACTGTCACTCTACCCTACTGATGGTAGTTTGGCAATACAATATATATACATCTATACACACACATATATATACACATACACATATACCCACATATACACTGTATTCTCTGGGTATCTCCATTAGAGGATGGGCAAATTAAATAACACATGGATTGATAAATTTTTGGCCCTTCTTTATATGGCTATGTATAGAGTGGGCTTCAACTCTGATACTTCATTGGAAGTTGATCTTGGGTTCCCAAAGGCAGGTCCTACTATCCTGAAAAAGACTTGAGCACAAGTCTAGTGATGGAGTATGTGCCTGATCTCCAAGGACCAGTCTAGTTAGGTTTAGAAAGGTTCAAAAAGTTGATCACTAGTAACTCAAGAAATAATATATTGTGGTAGTTAATTAACCCCCACAATGCCAAAGTATGGATGATAGGGTATGGCACAGGGGGTTAGGAATTTTGATCTGTATTGGTGGAGTAATCCATTAAACAATGGATCTACTGAAGTACTGAGGAAGGAAAGGAAGTGTACACACGGTGATACATTGACTGGTTCTTTCAACAAGCATTTATGAAGTACCTATTGAGTATTAAGGAAATAGAAAACAATTTCTGCATCAAGGTATCTTTTATAATTGTGAAAATTTTAGATAGTACATAAGTGCAGGTAGATAGACAGATAGATGGAGAGATAGATAGACCAACTTGGCTTTGCTAGGTAGTTGTAAAAGAGTGAAATGGGTAGATAAGGAAGGTACAATAATAATAAACAGCCAGAACACCTTAAACTTGGATTTGATCTAATAAGCTAATAGGCCACCCCTGTGGGTTTCTGAACTAGGAGATGAAATGAAAACTATTTTAAAAAGATTAATCTTGTTGCAATTCACTGAATGAATTCAAACAGAGAAAGAGACTAGAGGCCAGAAAAATAGCTGGGCAAAAACTGCAAGTAATTCAGATGGGAGTGACAAGGCACTGAATTTGGACATATGTGAAGGATCTGGATTTAATGAAACAAAGGTTAACAGAGACACTATGGAAGCAGAACTGGTGGAATTTGGTGATTTTTGGACATTTGGGAGGGGCGTAAGGGAAGGCAGGAGTAAAAGTAGAAGAAACTACTGACAACTCCAAGGCTATGAGCCAGGAGAACAGGAGAAAAGCAGTGCCATTGACAGAAATGACAAAGTTAAACAAAGGTATTCTAGAAAGGATTATACATTCTGCTTTTATATGTTGTTTCAAGTGATGACAAGATGTTCAAGGGGATATGTGCTATAGGCAGTTATAGATAAAAGACTGAATAACAAGTGAAAGGTCAGAATCAGAGAATTCAGAATTAGCTCTGAAATCAATTCAATAAACATTTACAAAGCACCTATTGTGTGTAAGGTTCTCTATGCTACATGCTAGAAGACATGAAGATGAATAAGATATATCTCACTCAAAGAGCTTATAACCTAACAGGGGAGGCGAGGCATGTAGACAAGTAACTTGGACTTGATCTAATAAGTTAACTATGATACAAAATATAGTAAGATCAAGTGCATAAGAGTGGATTAAGAGCTATGAGAGTTTTTTATTTTTACAGAATAAAGTTTTATTAAAAGGCAGAAAACAAAATAGAAATTCTAGAACAAACAAACCATTAGTCAACTAATCAATCAACATATTTAATAAGTACCTACTATGTACTAGACACTGTGCCAGGTGTTGAGGATACATTTACAAGAGTGAGTTATTTCTGACCCTCAAGGAGTTAAGCTACAACAGGTTCAGAGATAGTAAATACAAGATAATAAAATAAAGTCATGGGGTGGGGGTGGGGATGGGGAACACTAACACTCCCAACTCATCTCACTGTTTGGCCTGCTTCACAACTTCAACAACATTATCCTCTGCTAGAATTTAAGTTCCCTGAGAGTTTACATTGAAAGTATGGATTTTTTTCTATTTGTATCCCCAGTACTTAACACAGTGCTGTGA